TGGCAGCCCGAGACTTTTTTGCTACCTCCAAGAGGCAAGTCCGACAGACGACGAGTAGAAGGTTTAGGAAGGGCACTATGCAAAATCTGCTGAAGAATGTACACACACACACACGTCTGCGAAATACTCACACAACAAAAGGCAGTGGGCACTGGTAAGTGCCCAGCTGTGACGGTTCTACGTCCTCGCCCCGGAGCATTGGTGTTGTCCGGGTCCTTAGTTTGAAGTTCAGGAAGCCCTGCCGGCTCTAAAACTACAATCCCAAAATCCTCATGCACAAATCGCTGAGTGTCCTTGTATGTGGAGCATCTAAACGAGATTAAGACATAAGCATGTATGTTGATATGTTGTTAACATATATATAAATAAATACACACACCATTGTATACTCATATATATATATATATGCTCACCCCCCCCCCCCTCGACAGACCCCGGAAGCGAAAAAAAGGCTGAGGGCGCGACGGACAGCATAGCTGCACACAGTAGCCAGACACGTTAACACACAATAGAGCATATTTTTTTCGATTAGTACGGCTTTGTGTTCGCAATGAAAGATGCAGACAGATGTGAGAAGGACGCATGCTGTAAGGACCTGAACAATTTGCTCGACATCGTGGATTGCTATTAATTTTAATAAGGTTGCTCTTAGTTTTACTTGGGTTCCTATTAAGTTTATTAGGATTCATAGGCTTCGTATGAGTTCAATAGGAATCCTATTTAAATCAATAGGAACCCCATTAAAATGAATGAGAACCCTATTGAAATTAAGACGAGTCTTTTTTGAAAACTTAGTAAGAATCCTAGTACAATTAATAAGAACCTGGTTGAAATACGTAGAAGCTCCTATTAAAATTTCTTGGCGTCCTAAATTCAGAGGAACCATAGGAAGGCCATTCAAATGAATAGGAACCCTTTTGAATTCATAGGAATGCTATTAAAATTAATAGGAACCCTACAAAAGAATCTATGAATTCTCTTTAAGAGTAACAGGAATCCGTGTAACATGAAGATGAATCCTTTTAAAGGATTAAGAGGAGCCAATAAAATTCTATAAAAAAAGTAATGTGGACCCTTCAAAACTTAAAACACTAAGAGTCGTACTGTTAGAATGATAATAAACACTATTAAAACATTTAATTAACAGGATTGCTAAAAAAACAAATGAGAGTTACAATAACATTACTTCGAGTCCAATTGAAATGAATAGGGAACAGGATTTAAAAATATAATCGGAGCACTGTGGAATCTAGTAGGAATCCTATGAACATTATTAGGAATCCTGTCAACATGAATGAGCAACCCTGTTAAAATGAATACGAAGCCTATTCCAATTAATCAGAAGCCTTTTTAAATGAATAGGAAGCTTGTCAAAGCAAAAGGAACCCAGTTAGAAATTGTAAGACATCTTATGAAAATGAATAAGAAGCCTATTGAAATTAATAGGAATATGTATAAAATTTGTTATGAAGCTTTTTAAATTTCTAAGACTTTTATTAAAACTAACTAGGAAGAAGAATGTTATTACAATTACTCAGAATCGTATTCCAATTACTTGGCATTTGATTAAAATGAATAGGAATCAATATTAAACCCAATAAAGTCCTTTAACAGGCATCCTTTAAAATCTAATACGAACCCCATTAAACAAATACAGGAATCCCATTGCCATTGAAAATCACTTAGAATGCTAGTAAAATGATTAGGAGTCTTGTTAATTAAATAAGGACTCCCGTTAAAGTGAACAGGAGTATTATTAAATTTAATAGGCAGCCTAAAACATAATAAGGAATCATATAAGAACCCCTGAAAAACTCTTATCAAAAATCCAGTTTCTAAAAATCCAAAAATCCAAACATCCAAACATCCACCCCAAAGGTTTGGATTTTTGGAAACTCGAGCGGGAGCCTCAAAATCCAAAAATCGAGCAAATTCCTCGAGTTTCCAAAATTCCAAAAATCCAAAAAAATCCACCCCAAGGTTTGGAATTTTGGAAACTCGAGGAATTTGCTCGATTTTTTGATTTTGAGGCTCCCGCTCGAGTTTCCAATTTCATATTTCTCATGAGTGTAGAACCCCTAAAAGAATCTCACCAAAACCTGAGTTTCCAAAAATCCAAAATTCCAACCCAAGTTTCGGATTTTTGGAAACTCGAGGAATTTGATCAAAATCCAAAAAAACCCAAAATTCCTCGAGTTTCCAAAATTCCAAAAATCCAAAAATCCCAACCCAAGTTTCGGATTTTTGGAAACTCGAGGAATTTGCTCAAAATCCAAAAAGACCCAAAATTCCTCGAGTTTCCAAAATTCCAAAAATCCAAAAATCCCAACCCCAGTTTCGGATTTTTGGAAACTCGAGGAATTTGCTCAAAATCCAAAAAAACCCAAAATTCCTCGAGTTTCCAAAACTTCCAAAATCCAAAAACTCCACCCCAAGGTTTGGATTTTTAGAAACTCGAGCGGGAGCCTCGAAATCCAAAAAAACCCAAAATTCCTCGAGTTTCCAAAATTCCAAAAATCCAAAAACCCCAACCCCAGTTTCGGATTTTTGGAAACTCGAGGAATTTGCTCAAAATCCAAAAAAGCCCAAAATTCCTCGAGTTTCCAAAATTCCAAAAATCCAAAAATCCCAGCCCCAGTTTCGGATTTTTGGAAACTCGAGGAATTTTGGGTTTTTTTGGATGTTGAGCAAATTCCTCGAGTTTCCAAAAATCCGAAACTTGGGTTGGGATTTTTGGATTTTTGGAAACTCGAGGAATTTTGGGTTTTTTTGGATTTTGAGCAAATTCCTCGAGTTTCCAAAAATCCGAAACTGGGGTTGGGATTTTTGGATTTTTGGATTTTTGGAAACTCGAGGAATTTTGGGTTTTTTTGGATTTTGAGCAAATTCCTCGAGTTTCCAAAAATCCGAAACTTGGGTTGGGATTTTTGGATTTTTGGATTTTGGAAACTCGAGGAATTTTGGGTTTTTTTTGGATTTTGAGCAAATTCCTCGAGTTTCCAAAAATCCGAAACTTGGGTTGGGTTTTTTTGGAGTTTTGGATTTTTGGAAACTCGAGGAATTTTGGAGTGGTGCTCTTCCCCCCCCCCCCCGCTTCCTGGACAGATCGGATTTTCGCTTCCGGGGTCTGTCGAGGGGGGGGGGGGGGTGACCATATATATATATATGTATATATATATATGTATTAACATACATGTATACATACATATATATATATATATACATAAATGTTGTTATCGATCCAATCACAACGCAGGTGTCGAGGACATTTGGAGACGGCATGGTGCCGAGTCGCTTTGAAGCTCTGGTGCCCACGGCGGCGGTGCAACTTCGATCGCTGCAGCCTCGAAGAGTTTAGGGTTTAGGGTTTAGGGTTTAGGGTTTAGGGTTTAGGGTTTAGGGTTTAGGGTTTAGGGTTTAGGGTTTAGGGTTTAGGGTTTAGGGTTTAGGGTTTAGGCTTCAGGGTTCAGGGTTTAAGGTTGAGGGTTCAGGGCTTTAGGGTTTAGGGAGCTAAACCCCCCGAAGCCTTCAAGCGCCTCACTCTAAACTTAATCGGAGCATCCATGAAAATGTTTGCCTCCATCTCTATATATATATATATGCATATGGCAATGCACACACACACACACACATATATATATATATATGTATACACATACGTATATACACTTACATAGGATCTCTCTTTTTAAGCCTCTTGTCTCTATCAATTCAGCGATCAAGCTCTCGCTCGGGAGAAACACCGAAGCCGGAACCCTTGGAGCTCGATCTCGAAGACCAGGACGACCTCCCTCCCTGAGCAGGGTTGAGGGCTGTTGTTGGTTTAGGGTTAGGGGTTTAAGGGGTTTAGGGGTTTAGGGGTTTAGGGGTTTAGGGGTTTAGGGTTTGGGGTTTAGGGTTTAGGGTTTAGGGTTTAGGGTTTAGGGTTTAGGGCTTAGGGCTTAGGGCTTAGGGTTTAGGGTTTGGGGTTTAGGGTCTTGGGTTTTGGGTTATTCCAAGCAGCTTTCCAGCAAAGCCTGATAGGGGAATGCTGGATTATGTGAAACATGTGCATAGTGTGCGTAGATTTGCGTTAATCTTTTCTAGCTTGCGGTGGTCTTTCAGGGTTAGGTCAAACCTCTCCCACAATAAGTGTCCTCACTATTCGATTCTCCGGATTTCTCAGGGAAGAAGGTCATGGCAGGTCATGACTAATGACGTCAAAAACCCAACAGTCCTGTGTCACTTGCATGCTGTGCAAATGCCGAGAACGTTTCACAAACGATGCAAAGATGTGTAAAGATGTGCAAAGCACCTGCCTCTTGTTCCCGGGCCTTCCAGGGGTAGTCGAACCTCCGCAGGGAGGGGCGCAGTCTGAGAGGAGCTGGGCAGGACCAGAGCGAGTGCAAGCACTACCGCACCAGAAAGTGAGCTTACGTGAAGTGGTTCACGGCATTGGACCTGCATTTGTGGCCTTCTTTTACTCATTGAAACTGCAGGCAATGACAAGAAAGTTGTCCGGCTCATGCCAGAACATGAATCGGCCCGTCACGATCTGCTACGGTAACCCTTACACGACAATCCACGATCCACGATGTGAGCTTTCGGCCTGAAGGACCTTGTCTTCTTGATCTTCAACCTGCCATGGCCACGATGGTCACACAGTAAACGAAGCCAGGGAAACAGAATATCTCCCAAAAGGAGCACACAACAGTAAGCTTGACGGTCAACATGAGTGCTCATGCGGTGTTACAGAAGCCGTCACCACATTCCGCTTGGTGAGGTGTTTGAGCCGTTTCATTCTCCTTTGAACGAGATGACAGGGTCGAGTATAGTAGCATAGCTTGAAGATGCCACATAAGTAGCGTACCTGCTGCAAGTGACTGTGTCACTGGCCTTTCTCGGTTGCTGCCGTCGACTGCGCTTGACAAGTTTTGTGAGACCAGTGGCTGAAGCCCGGAACAGTTGCTGGCACGTTGACACTGTTGAAAAAGCCACCCCAAACTTCCACGTGTCAGTCTTCACCGATCTGCCTCCGCCAAGTCAACGCTAACTTTGCCTCAGCTTCACATGGGCGTTTCTGTAATACTGCAAAAACGACGGCCACCTTTGAATGAAGTCGTCCAAGGCACCAAGTGAAGTTTTATCCTCCTTGGAGACTTCGACGCTGACGCTGCCGCCTGCACGATTTCTCAGCCCAGCAAGCGCATAGCTTCGACCCCCTCGGAAAGTGAATTCAGAAGCCTCTTTTCACTTGTGATACTGTGAAATACGGTATATAGACGCATACGTACGTCAATGATGTGATTTATGGATTGATTGGCTTTGGGAGCAGGGACGGCTCCCGCAAGAATCACCACCACAAGCATCATTGCTTCTTTAGAGGCAGGAGTGAGTGGATCCAGGAGGCAGGCTCCTACGAGTAGCAGGCCTGGATATTCCAGCAGCCTGTGAAATGATTGATACCAGACCTGTGCAGACAGAGAGAGGACATTTTCCGTGACCCCAGACTCGCATTTCAGAAACCACAGGCTGCGCGGAGCTGGCCCCGACAGCACCTAAGGGGTCCGTAAACCGTAAGGTCCCCCACCACTTGCAAGCTTCGTTGCATCTCCACCAGCAGCTTGACCTGACCCGCTGGGAGGCCTCCCGGGAAGCATCCACTGTCACAGTCTGATGAGCGAAGTTTATGCCAGAATCTTGGCCTGCAATCTTGGCTATCTCGTCATAGGGCATCTTCTTCTCCTAGCGTGCGGAAGCCGCAGCCACCGAGAGAATGGGTGCAGGAGCACATGCCACACGAAAACGGTCAAAGCGCACAGAGGTCTTCAGTGGCACAGACAAACAGCAGCCACCAAATTTGCATGGGCCCACCGTATCCCGTCAGTAAGTGCCGGACAACCGCAAGGCGCTCAATCATCAGCTGGGAGTGCGTGCTGACATTGTGGAGAAAGCTGCCTTGAAAGATGATAACCGCTCTCACACGCTTGAAGCGCGCCAAAACAATGGCACGGTCGGAGACGACACCTCCTACTGCCGCGGCAAGAGCCCTGGTAATTCCTCCCAATAATCACGCGAAATCAGACTCGCTGAAAACTCGTCTCAGCCGCCTTTCGGATTGGTTTGCGAAGCACCCCACGCTCTGGCCTGGATCCAACAGCAAACTCCAGACAGAAAGAGCTCAAACTGTCCCGTGGCGTAATTAAACCCTCTCCTCTCGCTTATGAAACTAAACAGATCTTGTGGAGGAGAAGTCACGTGCTCCAATGCTGATCTGACGGATCTGCCTTCTTGGTCTTCATGGGCGGCTGCTTGAGTGTGCCACCGGAAGGACTGGAGATCCACCTGCCAGAGTCAGCTTCACACAGCTTCAGGGACCCGACATTCGCGAAGATAGCTTGCTCCTGAAAAGATGTGCGGAAGCTGCATGTGCCACAAGTGGTCTTCACTGTAGAGACTTCGATGAAACTATGATCAGACTGTGACGATGAAACTATAATCAGACTGTAACACATCCGACGCATTCCCTTGAGCTCAGTCCCCAAGCTGAGGGTCAGACAGGTTCAAAGTCTCCAGGCCCTTCTTCAGGAGACCACCCTCAGAAGCCAGAAGATCACCCGGCAATGGCTACGCTGTGCACAAGGCTCCTCTCCAAAAAGGGAAAAAACACCCCAAATCCGATGCTTTTTGATATGTGTTTTAGATCTGCAGTAGTATCCTTAGTGGCAGTTTGCACGGATCTGCAACAACATGAGGCTCATCAAACTAGGGGGCCGGGGACCCCCATGTGGCCATAACATGGTGTGATGGATGCTTGTGAACCTGCAAGTTCCAGGGGCCACAGACAGTGCTGCCGAGCCACCTTCTTCTCCTGGCCCGCATGTCAAGCCCTGAAGCCTGAAACCCTAAACCCTAAGCCCTAAACCCTGAACCCTAAACCCTAAACCCCAAACTAAGCCATAAACCTGAATCGGGGCTGAAGCTGAACAGGTTTAGGCTCTTTGCCTGTGTGACTTAAAACACATCGTGCGCATGAAGCTGTCCGATTAGATCCGGTCAAGAAGAATGCCATCCTTTGCCGGCTATGTTCGAAGGAGTGCTCACGAACCCTTATCCACCCCTTATGTACCCTATAAATCCCAAGAGCCGCATACTTTTAGGACCCTCCAAAAAGAAGGTAAGGGAGCCACATTGAGTGCCCATGTACCCTTAGAAAAAAGGCTGCCCCAGAAGTCTGCTTCTACAAGTAGAAGCACGGGCTCTTCGACTGTGGGGAAGGCCTGCACGTGACGCACGTGACGACTGAAAGCTTCCCATTCACGCCGGGGCCTTGAAGAAGTTTTTGGGCGGCTTCCCGACCTCTATGTTGACGGACCTGGGCTATTTTGACAGAGTCTTAGATGTGACCTGGTGGTGTTGTGTTTCCTACATCCATGCTCGGACGCCTGTTGCAACGGGCTTTCGAAATATCACCCAGGCATGTCATGAGTGGTCAGTTTCTGGAAATCAAAAAGGCCGTCAGGCGGCGCAGAGCAGTACATGACTTCATCCACGAACTCTTCCGGCGTCTCCAGACCCATAAGCCTGCAGCAGTCACCAAAGCTGCAGACGTGTTTTGCAGAAGTTGATCCGAAAGCAAGCACATCGCCAGCATCGCAAGAATGGAATGACGACAACCTGAAATATGTAACCAAACCATACGCACTTCCACAAGTAACAGAAGCTCACGGCCACAACCCACGAGCCCATTGCAAGCCAAGCAGCTTCACGGAGACAAGGCGCAGAAGCCTGGTGTAGTCCACGGATAACTGCCGCGGGCCACCCAACCTGAGAGAGAGAGAATCCGGACAGCCGAGTCGTGAAAGCCAAAAGAGCCAATGCCCTCTGCGGTCGGTTGGCTCATGCTCCGGCCCTGCAGGGACCGCATCGACAATTCCCATGTCTCCAGGGAGCTTGACAACCTCCAGGAACTCCTTGGCCAACTGCAGAGGAGAGGACCAAACCATGTGTGTCTCTGTGGGTCCTCCATGGCGCTGCACTGAAAAGGGTCAGGCAGGGGAGTGGGCTTTTGCATGGCCAAGCTTCTGTGGAAAGCAGCACCTCCATCTTCCTGAGGGCTACACATTGTGGTTGTTAACTTAAAAGCAAGAGCAGAAGATGTAATAGTAACAACAGTAGTAGTAGTAGTAGTAGTAGTAGTAGAAGAAGTAGCAATAGTCGTCGTCGTAGCAGAAGGAGGAGGAGGAGTAGGTGCAAGTCGCGCTTTTGACGCCGCATGATTTTTCACAAATTTCGTCCGTTTCGTCCGTTGTCTCTTTTTTTCCCCAGGTTTCGCGCTTTTGAAACCCCCCACCAAGTTAAGAACAAACGGCGCCGAAATCATGTGATATGCACAAGCGAATTCGCTGTAGATGGCACTTTGTTAACATTGAGCCAAAAGCTAGGATTAAAGCAGGTAAAGTGAGGGAAGGCGCGGCATCATTGCGCGACTGCTACCTAGTAGTAGTTGTTGTAGTAGTAGTAGTAGTAGTTGTTGTTGTTGTTGTAATAGTAGTAGTAGTACTACTACTACTACTACTACTACTACTACTACTACTACTACTACTACTACTACGACGCGCAAGGCGCATATTTGACGCCACGTTTTGTGGCTGTTAGGACGAGTTTTCATCGGTATTTACAGTGGTTTCCGGAAGGCAAGAGCAGGAGTCACGAGGGTAGGATTTAGGTGTTTTGTCCGAGGACGGAGATAGGCGGATTAGATCCAGAGCGTTTTATGCCCAAAACACTGGCTTTTGGCAGCGTTTTCGCCTCTCAGTGCGCAAGGATGTACCAAGCCCGAAATGTTTTCGCACGCTTAACACCGTAGCCCCTGCCAAGAACCTTACCAAAACGGCAAAACACCCGAGGACCAAAAGGCATGGACGCTTGTGACAGATTTTCTTGTTCCACATCCTTGTGCAGTACATACCAGTGTTTTGGGCATGGACGTAATATGAATGACGTTCTTATCCCCCCCCCCCCCCCCCCCCCAACAAAACCAACAGCAGCCACATGTAAAATCTTTGGCAGAAAAAGAACGAATTCTACCCTCCACTCTTTCTTCGATTTCGTGCTGAAAACACACGTTTGAGGCCCTCAAGTGAAAAAAATTGCCGTAATTCTGGCACTGTCATCTAGTACTACTAGTAGTAGTAGTAGTAGTAGTAGTAGTAGTAGTAGTAGTAGTAGTAGTAGTAGTAGTAGTAGTAGTAGTAGTAGTAGTAGTAGTAGTAGTGGTAGTAGTAGTAGTAGAGTAGTAGTAGTAGTAGTAGTAGTAGTAGTAGTAGTAGTAGTAGTAGTAGTAGTAGTAGTAGTAGTATTAGTAGTAATAGTAATAGTAATAGTAATAGTAATAATAATAGTAATAGTAATTGTAATAGTAATAGTAATAGTAATAGTAATAGTAATAGTAATAGTAATAGTAATAATAATAGTAATAGTAATAGTAATAGTAATAGTAATAGTAATAGTAATAGTAGTTGTAGTAGTAGTAGTAGTAGTAGAAGTAGAAGTAGAAGTAGAAGTAGTAGTAGAAGAAGTAGTAGTAGTAGTAGTAGAATTATTTGTGGTAGTAGTAGTAGTATTATTATTATTTGTAGTAGTAGTCGTCGTCGTCGTAGTCGTCGTCGTCGTCGCCGCCGTCGTCGTCGTAGAAAAGCGGCGGCAACAACCAAAGAAAAGAGAATAAACGAAACTATGAACGCCAATATGTTCATGTCAAACATAAACACAAAGTTCAGAAACATGTATATTGTACATGAATTGTAACTATGAAAAAATGTATATACATTATATGATTATACGTACATATGTTGTTGATCTATTTGTTCATTTGTTTAAGCATTTCTAGCAACAACAATCATCTTGGACCAAGAGGCTTTGATGGGTCTGGCATGGCCTTCTGGGCCTCTGGGGTGAGGACCATGCCCAGCCAGTCTTTGCCTCGGTGGCTCTGCGCACGCAACAGACATCCCAAGTGCTAAGTTTGAGGGTTTTAGGGTTTGAGGGATCAGCAACTCGGCGCCATGCCTTCCAGCATCTCATGGATTCTCTGGACCTAAGCCAACTCGGTGAGTTGAACTCTGGGACAACCCTGCAATGTACCGAAGAAACGATGCAGGCCAACCCAGGAGAAATTGCTCAGGGTCTGGCGGTGCTGGAGAACTGCCCCAACAGGTCTCTGCGATCCCCGAGATCCACGTCCGATACATCCTCAAGAGGTCTGCGATCTTTGTGCCGCACACCCCCGGAGTTGCAGGGAACATCCCGGGCACCTGCTCTTACTGCCTCAACGCAGGCTAACTTACAGAAGAATACCGCCTCAAAGAGAGGACCGATGTGGCTCTGGTGGATCCGGAGCTCTCCCGGGTCATGGCAAAGGAGTTTGCCACAGTTTGCAAACAGACCAGGAAAGCATGCCATCGAGGGGCCGAGTTTATGTGAAGGGAGGGCGGACAGCTGTCTAAAGCTCAGTGCGCTTCGGGTACGGTCGGGTTAAAGTTCCGATGTTCGTTCTACTTGGTCGGACGTCTCTCTCGATCAGAAACAGAAGCTGGCATGCTGCAGCAAAGGCACGATGTGAAGTTGCTGGTTGTGGTGAAACAATGGCCTGGAATACTGATCATTTTCTGCATGCTGCTGTGAATGATGTGAAGTGTAAAGTACACAGCCGTGGCAGAAACTGTAGCCAGGTGGCAGAAAGCCGCTTTCGGGCGGATCCCACTTTGGATTGCTAGTGTTTGTGTGATACCTTAGTCGAGCAGCGTGCTACTCTGCACGCTACTGCGGCTCAGGGCGCACCCCGAACACATGAGCGATGTGCTGAGACGCTGCATGTGGCCAAGTGTGCCATAAATCGCCGCGTGACCTTCGGCTATCTGCCCCAGCCCGTGCGCCTCTCGGACGCACATATTGCTTGCGGCTCAGGTGCGAGGTGGTGAAAGTGGTGCCACCCAACTGAATCTGAACAGATGGGTCCTTGGCAAGTTGGCAAACACTAATTGTCACTATTGCTATCTGTGCCTTGCTTGGAGGCCACGACCCAAGAGTGGAAGGGATCCCGAGGCCTCCACGCTAGTCTCCTTGCTGAACAAGGAGAAGTCACCACCTCAGCTTGCCAGCAGCTTCAACCGCAACGAAGTTGTGCTGAAGTGACTCTGCTATCTCGGCCAAGCCGCCGAAGACGCCTCGCGCCTCGTGAACAGTGGCAACCACGTAGCCAAAGGGTGGTGGCGTTGAAATCCTGAGCTGCAGGTTGGCATTGCTTGGCGTAGAACATGTAGTTGCTATTGAACCATATTGTGAGCCCCTCGCCACCATCTAGTCAATCAGCCTTTGTGCCAAGTGGCGGCATCAAATTCGAGGGCGGGATGGGCAAGACCGGGACATAAATGCCACCTGCATCACTGGCGCAGCATGTACATTCTTTCTCAATGACTCAGAGCTAAGCTTCTCCCTGGACAACGTTCCCTGGGAGTCTGGAGCATCTAGGCCAGCGTACTGCGCGACCTAGATTAACGATGATTGAAACGCAGACGGGGCGAGAGCGTGAAAACGAAGCTCAATCAACGACGACGGAAGCCGAGGACAGGAACCCGACTTGTGCTGACAACTGTGCAGGCAACCTTCTGTGACTTCTGCGCGTGTATAAAAAACCGCAAGACCCCTGCGACGGCTAAAGCGTTTGACATGCGACCAAATACCACGACTCAAACATTTTTGTGCCGAGGATGGTGATCCCCGAGAGGGGTTGCCGCTTCTGAGATTGACGATCCAAAACGCGAGGCGGTGTCGAGGATGGCGACAAGGAGGGTTGATACCTTTGAAGCCAAAGATACCCAAAGTAGCATATCGCATCGAACGCCTGTCCAGCCGGCCTGGCCTCTGGCTCTAAAACTGTGTGCATGAAATAGGACACTTGGGAGACCGCTGTGCTTCAGAAGCGGGCTTTTATCGCGAGCGGCTCGCAATCCTCTGCGCATGGTTCAGGGGCTAAGGGGTTCAGGTCTCCTTCCGGCGAGCTCAGGAGCACTAGGCCGGCCCTGTTGACTAAGTTTCCGCAGACTGCTTTTCGCTGCTTTTCTGATGTGCGATGGCGTGTGATCACGAAAGCTCCCCCTCGGTAAACCCGTTCAATACCCTGCAGGGGCTGGGGCGAAGCCTGGGGGGGGAGGTGCAGGGCCCTCTGCGGACCCTTTTGCGAGGCTTTGTGTAGTTTGCTCTGCACAGCTCTTCAACGAGAAACCGGCCGGCCTAGATGCTGCTGATGCTGGAAAACATGTGGTGGAATTGTGGACCAGCACAGGCACAATCGTATCGGCTAGACTCAGCTACGATCATGAGCACGTGATGTATGTTGCTTGTCTGGATCAAGTTTCATCGCAGTGTGCATTCACTCTGCACAACAGCGGTTGACGTAGCAAATGGCAAATCAGACCGCACATGAGATAAGAAAACCCCACAGAGCATCCAGCGAAGTGCCTGGGACAACGAAGGATTGAAGGAGCTTCTCGGCGCAGGTTTGGACCGCTTGGACCAAAATCGGTCCGAGAAGCTTGCCAGCCTTTGACGAGTTGACTTGGCGTGCATTCTATGGCATTCTACGGTTTTTGCAGTGTGTTGGGTTCAGGGTTGAGTACGGCAGCAGCACATCAACGAAGCCATCAGCCTGCCCATGCTCCTGCTGTCAAACGCGCTTGAGCCTGCTCGGGTAGCGCGGCCGGGACCTGGAATGTACCGAGGCAGGAGCCGAGTGCATGCCGAAGAATTCGAAGTGGAGGTCTGGCAAATCCAAGAAGTAGATCTTGCCTGACAGGTCAATAGCAAAATCCCGCAGACGCATCTGCACAGGTTGGATCCACCACAAATCCACCTCAAATCTAGAATCTAGTGCTTCAATAGCATCACACATGCGTACCACATCATGAACCAAGGCCACGAAGCTTGGAGTCTCTATTCATGGGACATGGAGTCCGAACGTAACGAGGCTTCCCCACAATCACTTCTTGCTTCGGCCTCCTGCAAATATCGGAACGACATCCATCAAGGGGGAGAGGAGGACGCAGGCGTTTCCCGATAGCGAGAACTTGGCCAAACCTACCTCAGCCATTGCAGAGGGTTTTGGGATGACCCGCCGAATCGCGTTGACTTCTTCTGGCTCCAAGGACCTACATTTTGCAACCAAACACCGGATGCACCTATGCAATGCTAGCTGCTCATAACATGACTATGGTCACGAACAACCCCCTTCCCAAGTACAGAAGACGGAAGACCCTCACGTATAAAGGCCGGACCGTTCAAGCCGCACGCATGTCCGCGTCCAAGGCGCACACAGCAAATCACGGTCTTTCCCGCGTCCAGGCCGCACGCGCGTCTTGTTTTCATTGGTTTTTACCACGTATTTTGAAGCTTTCAGATTCCGGAAACTTCGAAATGGGTGGCTGCCCAGGGCTTTCAGAGCGCGTGCAGCTTGGAAGTGCCGCGTGCAGCTTGGAAGTGCCGGGAAGTGCCGTGTGCAGCTTGGAAGTGGCTGGGTTTAGGGTTAATTTCAAGGATCTTGGCACCCAAACGAGCCCCACGCTCGTTTGGGTGCCGCGAGTCGGGTTTAGGGCTTAGGGTTTGGGGTTTAGTGTTTAGGGATTAGGGTTTAGGGGTTTAGGTTTTAGGGGGTTTTAGGGTTTAGGGTTTAGGGCTGAGGGGGTTTTAGGGTTTAGGGTTTGGGGTTTGGGGGGTTTTAGGGTTTAGGGTTTAGGGTTCAGGGTTCAGGGTTCAGGGTTCAGGGTTCAGGGTTTAGGGTTTAGGGTTTAGGGTTTAGGGGGTTTTAGGGTTTAGGAGGTTTTAGGGTTTTGGGTTTAAGGGGTTTTTGGGTTTAAGGGGTTTTAGGGTTCAGGGTTTAGGGTTAGGGTTTAGGGTTTAGGGTTTAGGGTTTAGGGTTTAGGGGTTTTAGGGTTTAGGGTTTAGGGTTAGGGTTTAGGGCTTAGGGTTTAGGGTTGAGGGTTGAGGGTTTAGGGTTGAGGGTTTAGGGTTTAGGGTTTAGGGTTTAGAGTTTAGGGTTTAGGGTTTAGGGTTTAGGGGGTTTTAGGGTTTAGGGTTTAGGGTTTAGGGTTTAGGGTTTAGGGTTTAGGGTTTGGGGGGTTTTAGGGTTTAGGGTTTTGAGGCTTCAGGGTACAAGAACACTCGGCCCTGCGCAGGTCCCCAACGTTGCGCGTGCACCTTGGACACAGACGGCGCGTGCACCTTGGAAGCGCGCGCGCGTGCACCTTGGAAGTGGCGCCCCTCACGTGACTCCCATTTGAAGCAACAGCTCGGATTCTGCTTCGAAGTACCGAGGTGTTGATCGGAAGACCACTCACCCGTCCGGATATGGAAAGCCTAGGTAGGCGAGATTGTCTCCGGCGTGCCAGTGCTTGCTCTGCATTCATGGCAGTCAAATCATAACAGCAGAGCGGCGTAAAGTGAAAATCCTCGGCAGACGCCATGTCCAGGTGAGCCTTGCCGGCGCAGCCACATGCTGAAGCAGGCAAAAGCAGGCAAGCTTCTGCACTTTACTGGTGCCGGAACTGCGTGCGCACTTGAAAGCCGCACTGCTCCAAATGCACGTCAGAAGCTCGCTCTGTGAACAAACCGACAAGAGATTGACAGTGCACTGAAACACCAGAGCTCTCAAAGGTCAAACTCTGACATGGGCTCTAATGTCAGGCAAGGCACAAGAAGCTCAATACCTGCCGCAGATGCCCCGCAACAAGCAGAGCATCCTATTTCGTGACATGCCGCTCAGCTGCCGCAGTCTGGAGCTTCTGGCTTCTAAGGCTCAGCTTTCGGAGTTTGAGAACTGCGCAACACCCTTCAAGAAGAGCTTCAGGTGGAGAGTCCGCCTTCCTGCATACCTCGTCCAGTGTGAGTCGCAACGATGTTCTTCAAGTGCGGTGGCTGGGAACCTGCCCAACCCAAGCTCATGCACTCCGAAGCAGACACGTTGCCTTGGCATGAAGCTTCCCCACAGCTTCTTGTGCCTATGTCAAACTCAGTCTGAATGCTGATGTCGATATTGAAGCCTGGGTCATGAGCAAATGGCAAAGTTACAACGACATGCCCTGCGAGTGCTTATGCCCTCTGGGCAGAGGAGCATCCACATCCACCAGCCGATAGAGACGATCAACTAGTCATGTAGCAGGTGCAAGCAACCTTGCGTCCTGGCTTGCTGTCAAGCGGCCCAAGGTGTTCCGCGCTCGGATTTGTGAAGACACTTCGCTTGCGACCTCATGTGCAGCCACAGCATTGTTTCCACGGAACTGTCACTTAGAAATGTTCTGCCTCTGTTTCCAGTCCAGATGCACAGCCTGCTGGACATCTGTTGTCAGCGCAACTAGCACTCCTACCAATCTACGAGCTGCACAAACAGCAGCATGCTGACTGAAAGTTCCTGACCGCAAAAAAGCCAAGGAGGCGGGGCCTCAACTTGCGGCCGAGTGTCTATGTTTTTCACAAGCTCGCTCAGGGCCGTCCGAAAGTGCGGCCATGTTGTCTCAAGGATGTAATTCACCCAACCTGGGTCGGCTGCTCAGAAGCCTGCCACGGCTGATCCTCATAGTGCTTTCCAAGCTGCCCAAGCTATCGTGTTGATCCGTGTGCGAGCTGTTCGCACGAGCCTGAAGGCTGGCAGGCCAGCGCAGCAAGAAGTGGCAAAGGCAGCCAGGTAGTGTGTTGCTACCGCCACACGTTCGTCACACGTGCTGCAGGAATGTGCCGATTGTTCTGACGTGCTGGGCAGGAACACTAGAAGCCGGATGAGTGAAATCCCGGACTGTGAACTACAAGGAGTATGGACTATGTCGTCGCCGTTTTTCTGTGCTGCGTCCGAGCGAAAGTTGCGCCAGCTGTCACAGCTGGCTTGCTCGAACCCATGTGTGGGCCTATTGCATGCGTGGAGACTCTCAACTCCGCCCTGAGCGTTCTCGCAAGGTCCTTTTAAAGAGGATTGTCAAGCACCAGTGGGAAGAGTAGCGCAGGCCACACACTCTGGTCATAAAGCCCGCGGATCATCCGGCTCAAAAAAGCATTTTATCACGTTCACTTCGGTCAGATCGGAGACCGTCCGAGATGCTTAGGGGAACAGATGCCAGTCTTCCGATTGCCACTAGCCCCGAACAAATCGAAGACATAAGGACTGTTGACGTAACATTCAAGAGAACTCAAATCATACCATATTCGGGAGATGACCTGAGAATCTTCAACGTACAGCTTCAAAGGAGGGGAAGATATAAGATTTTCTGCATTGCACATATCCATCCGCAGGTGACTGTAGGTTGGATTTTGGGAAGGGCCGGGTAGGCGGCCAGGGCCCAGTGGCATGAACTGAGCTGCCGACGGTCAAAGCAGGGTCAAGGCGTGACAAGCTGGACTTACTTGAAGCCATTGTCAGAAGGTCTGTATACAGTAAGCGATTCCTCCGAAGGATGACTGAGAAAAGAGCACGGCACACAAAAACGTGTACTTGCTGCAGTCTGCGGATGGTTTTTCGGCGGTGTGAAAAGGCTGTTGGCGGCGCTTCGACAGCAAGCTCTAGTTCCGACTGTAAAAACTCCGCCAGCACCGACTGAGTGAGTCATATCTATGAGCAATCCTGACGCCAGTACCACATTCTGTTCGCCATTGTGTAATGCAAGGTCCTAAATTAGCTTCATCTGCCTGACAGAAAAGAAGCATACACCTCTATCCACTGCGTCAGCCAGGTCTTTTCATCTTCTACTAACAAAAACATCGTGGGTTGTGACAATTGGTTGTGACAAGTGCTTAGGCCAGAGTGGGAAAGGAAGAGCCAGCAATCCACCACCCAAGCACAAAAGGGACTCAAGGCTGAAACTTGATTGAGGAGCTCTCGCTCTAGCAGTTCAGGTGTTTTCGGGCTGCATATACTTGCTAGGAGGGATTGGAGCATGTTCCGCACCAGGGGCCAGCGAGACAGCGGTGTGTAACCCAGTTCTCCGTGGTTGTTGCGCAGTTCATGGTCATGGAAAGAACCAACACCACGTCGAAAGCGCAACAGAAAGAAAGAATGAAAGAAAGCTGTTGCATAGCTGAGTCGCATATCTGTATGGGGACATCACCGACACGCCAATGGTCCCCAAAGTGTCGCTGCCTGAACAATCACAGCGGAGGAGCCACCACGTAGCAGAGACTCGACGACTCAGCGAAATGTGCAGCCAAGCTGCTCATTCCTGTGAACATTGGCCCGCGATATTCCTGGCAGGATGCTTCAATGTCTCGTGCTTCAAGTGACTTGGCCTTTCGGCAGAGACCTCGAGCCTCAACAACCCCATTGAGACAACGGCCAACTACCGAAGCTTGGATCACTCCCAAGTTGATGTTAGGCCACGAACCACATCCCCAACCTTCTCTCCAAGCCTGATACAACGCAAAGCCAGCACATCCCTAGCCGTTTCGAGGCTCATTCTTGACCCACTGCCTCTGACTGCAGGTCAGATGCTGGATCGGAGGACATGCGTTCCTGACGTGCGGAAGGCAACGAAGGAGAGCGCGACGGGGCTTCTGCGACTTATGCGACTTCCAACTTTCAATCTCCCCCTCTCAAAATGTCAGAAGCAAGAAGGAGCTCGAATGCAACGCATAGAAGTTCCGATTACTTGCCCAGCACATGAAGCTGATTCGCCTCTTCTGGGAGCCCCCTAAACTACACTTCATAGCTGCAGCTCAGGCACCAGTTTGACTTCTTCCTCGTTCTCAAAGGGATGATGCTGCTGTGGTGGATCTTCCGGATAAATAATGCCTGGGCACTTGGGCACTGTGGAATCAAGGTTCCCAGCTGCTCAAAGAGACCTCATGGCTAAATTGAAGCAGGAGCAGGGTATGAGGGAGGGAGGGAAGGCAAGGCCCACGCTTCTCCAAAAGCCCCCCTGTGACCGGTGCTTGTCCTTTTCTGGCATTCCCGCTAAGACGACGAAACAATGAGCTTGAGCTCGTCACTCAGAAGGCCCACTTCATCCTGCTTGCCCACGAGATTCAGGCACTAGCGGACCGTGGCATCATAGAGAACACGGCCGGAGGGATACGTGGCCACCTTGTCTGGTACTGGCACAAGCCTCTCCTGGCCATCCAAACCCAAGGCCGCACGATACTCGACCTCCAGACCCTTTGTGAAGGGGTCTGTGGCTGGATCGGTTGTACTTGGACACTTGTACTCCGGCTGTGCCCTGGTCAGCATCTCACGAAGGCTCGGCAAGTCCAGGCCACAAAGTGATCCCTCAGACACCACGCGGATTCCACGAACCCAGCTGGAGTGCAAAGTCGAACCGGCGCCGGGAGCTTGGGTTCGCGAACCAAGAACTAGAGAAGAGATGGGATCCGTACGCGGAAGGAGTGCCAAGGACGTCAAGTCCCACAGCGTCACGTCGGCGACGCACCCTTCCTCGAGCCGGCCTGCGCGATCCATCCCCACGCCCTTGTAGCCGTTCCTGGCCGCAAGTGAAAGCGCCGTCTGCCGAGCCGTCGGCCAATCTCGGTATTCAGCGGTGGTGACACAAGCTACAGTGGTCGCCAACTTCAGAGCTTCCAAAATATCTTGGCCGTTGCTGCTGCAGGCTCCATCACAGCCCATAGAGACTGCTACACCTGCATCCAGCGCCTTCTTCACAGGCATGATCCCAGAGCCCAGAATCAAGTTGGACAACGGATTGTGAACACACACGGCGCCAGCCTTTGCCATCATTGCCAACTCGTGATCCTTCCAAGACATTGCTCGATGCTGCTCGTGAAGCTGCACTGCGAGCCCACGATCCCTGAATATCCCCGAAACCCAAACAGCAAGCCCAAGCTTGGCCAATATCTTCAAGAAGCTTGCACAACTTTTTATGCTGCTACTCCTTCTCGCTGTGGCTTAGACTGCTTCCTGCAAGGCCCGTGGTATCCTGAATGGTATTCCATAAATAATTGCGGGTCCTCCAGCCATATGGTGTGGGCGCAGCTAGTTCCAGGAAGCTGCAAGAAGCCCACATCGAGGAGATGCTGCACGGCGGACCCTGAGGCGAACCACTGGCGCGCCTGCATGGCCTCCCAGCGTTTGCACAGCCGTGCGAAACCCCAGAACTATGCTCTCGTCTGTCCTTAGCAGGTCTCAGCATCCCTGCTTAAAAACAAAGACACATTGCGATGACATCAACCTACAACTACCATAGTCGACTCACGCCGCCTGACCCCGCGTTTCCAGCCTCAGATCAGGCCGCCCAACTTCAGCCAACATTCATTGGACACAGAGACGCAGCAAGCTCTGGGAGCACGAACAATCATGAAGTCAGAGCCAGTTAATCCTAGAAACAAGTGGGTGTGGCCACAGAGGCGGTACTTCTTCCGGAGTTCGACAGCCCCCCGCAAAAGCTCGGGGCTCGCCGAGTATGGAGTGACAGGCCCAATCACTATCTCAATCCCGTTCTCCTCAGTGCACGGGCCAAGCAACGCAAATATATGATTCCTGTGAATACATGTGCATACAAAGAAAATTTAACAACAAAATCTGGCACATGTCATGCTTCGTCTAAATGCGCTCTGGGCTTCCGGATCATGAAATCCTGGGCCCCAGCAGCAATACGGCACCGATGTCAGAATGCACTTGACTAACAATTTTGTCCGGCCTCATGCACATGCATGAAGTTCAGAAAAGCAACTTTTCACTGCCTCCTCCCACAACTCGAGCCTCACCATCATCGAATCGAAGCGAAAAGCTACGGGAATGCATTGAACGGTGCTATGCTTCAGTACGCTGCAATAACGAATCCGAGGCACATTTTCTTCGTCTTCTCGGAATCTGGACGGGCCACTTGTGTGCGAAAACTTCCGCCTTTTCCCAGTCCTGTGATGTCATTCTGATTGCCACTGCAGTCGGAAGTATTTCCGAACCTCCGGCCAGTCACCTTTAAAACCTGTACAGCGTTGCAAGGCTTGTCCTCCGTTGCATGAACACTTCGCGTTGCGTGCCGCACAATCTGGCACAAGCGGGATGAAGTTCTCCCACAGCACCTCCGACTTGCGTGAAAGGAAACTCTCGAAAAGCACGATGCGCTTGTGCTACCAGCAAGATATCTGCTGCAGCACCGGGTCATCTCCCAGCATTGGAGCAACGAAGGCTCGCATGCCCAGCGCCTGCGACGGCCAGTGAGAAGTTACAGTAGGCGTGCATGTCCTCTGCAGCTGTCATGTCCACATGCTGTAGCTTCTTTCCAGGAAAAAAAGAAGAACAACTCCAGCGGTTCTACTCAAAGCCTTGTAAGCCCGGACAACAGCGTCCAAGTCGTCCAGGTGCCGAATGGCAATATGATCCAGGATTGCCTGAGAAACTACAAGTATGGACTACAACTGCAATGAAACCAGCGGCTCTGCCAAAGGATAGCATTGTGATCGATGACTTGAACACATGTGATTCAAAGCACTCGCAGATCTGCCAAGCAACCGTGCATCCTGTCAGGGCATTGTACGCTTCCGCAGTGTTGCTTCAAGTGAATGACTCCAACTGATACGAACTCCCCCGGATACATCCCGGCTTTTTCAGCTACTGCTCATCGAGTGCCAGTACAGGTTCCAGAAGGAGCTACCACGCATTGAAGCTGGATTCAGTCTTTCCGAACCCCTCTGCGCCTGACAGCATAGATTCGGCGCCACATAGCAGGGATGACACCCCCAAGGCTTCAGCAGGTGTGCGATGATGGCTGTCCTGCGTAAGTATCTGCAAACAGGCTTGCTTGCCTTCGATATCTTCACTGCAACCAAAAGAACTTGAGTTTGGCTTCGTCGAATGTGCTTTCACTTGCGTCCTTGCCGTACCAGCCTTCGTCGCCTCGCGGCTCATGGCGGTAGAGCTGACTGACCCACAGCTCCAAAGGTAGAGGCTTGATGAGGCCCCTCGTCCAGTGCTCGGAGCTGTGTGTATGCGCATTCCTCAAAGGCTGCAGACGAATGAAAAGCGGCCTGCATAATCTCCAAACAACGATTCTGCTTGTTCCAAGCGTCACAAAGCCTGGGAGGAGAAGCTTGTCGCTGCAGTCAACAACAACCTCTGCTGCTGAGTCCAACTCCGACTTCGCCTCTGAGATCTTGGCGATCTTGCCCTCGGCCTCAAAATACGTGAAACCACGAGCGGTGTTGCAAGAAGGCTGGTGCAACAAAACCTCGCACATCAACATCGGCCGGACATCAACCTTTAGTCCATCCCAGGAGCAAGGAGAACATCCTTTCGCTCGTAGCCATCTGCCGACGGCACCAGAGCGTTGGAGAGCAACGTCCGCCTGGCTCTGGGAATGGGATCTTGTCGAAGATTTGCCGCTTTGCCGCTTTGCGCTGTCCAAACAATGGGCTCCCCTACTTGCGCAAATGGTCCCCCAAGCCAGGCCCAAGCCACACGGCTCCAGAATCTAAAGGCAGCGCGGCCGCAGAGACACTCAGTGATCTCGATGTGGCCTGTGGGCTCTGCAGGGGCCAAGCTCGCAAAGAAGATGCAGCAAGCCAAGATGCGCACTTTCGAACGCTGTACAAATTTACTTGCCTGCTCCTCCGGTGTCTTTCGCTTCTGGCCACGATCGCTCATGGCACTTTTTTACGACGCTACACTTGGAGCAGTGGCTTTCTGACGCTAATCACTCACACGGTTGTTGGAGCTGGCAGCTAGCAGCACTGCAGAATCCACTGCGGTTGCAGAAGCCGTTGAAGAATTCTGTTTGTTGTCGCTCTTGGCTAATTGGCCTGACTCTGCGGCCGCAGAGGGCTGCAAGTTTTGTTCAATAAAGCGTATGTATATAGCATCTATATATATATGTGGCCGAGACCTTTAGGGTCTATTTCACGGCTGGTTCTTCTTTCAGTAGTAGTGCAATAATAATATTAATTTTAATATTATTATGAGTATAACAATACTGACCGTAATTGTAATAGGAATAATAATAGTACTAGTAATAGTAATAGGAATAGGAATAGGAATAGTAATAATTCTAGTAATAGTATTAGTAGTAGTAACAGTAATAGTGAAGGTTTGGTCTGTGTGTGCACCGGCGCCAGCAAGTGCAGCCATGTAGCTCTAGCACACTTTGAAGTAAGAGATAGACAAGTTGTTTCATAGCCTGAAGAGGGGCGAAGGGCTCTCTCATTTCCGATTACGAGGTAGAGGTGAGCTATCTCATTTCTTAGAAACATAGAGGAGATCTCATTTCCACGACAGAGACATCTTTCACTCAGGAGAGAACGCAAGCTGTTTCATTTCCAAGAAAATAGAGGAGCTCTATCATGTCGCATTAGAAGTGAGAAGCTCTGCACTAAAAGATAGAAGGCATCGATTCGTTTCCCTTTTTCTTTTGCTTATCAAAGGGTCTTTTCAGTTCGAACACAGGATTTCTTTCATGCCCTATAAGAAGGATCGAGGAGCTCTTTCATCTGAGAGATAGAAGAACGCATTCATGAAGTATACACGAGCTCATTTCTCGTCAAGAGGCAGAGGCGTGCCCAGCTCTACCATTACCTAACTCTTACCTGAAATTTCTCTATCTCGCAATAGGTCATGAGAGACCTCCTTTTTCACGCTGCAGGAAATGAGAGAGTTCTCTTCTATGTCGATTTTCAGAAATAGCTTCGCAGCTTCTCTATCAATGAAGAGTTTTGAAGGCCACTCTGGGCCATTCTCTGTCCATCAAATGGGACATGACATAACGCATCTCTCGCTATCGTTTACGTGATAGAGTTTCGCTATCTCTGAATAGGTCATCTGAAAGCTCCTCTGTATCTTTGCAGCAAGTGAAGGAGCTCCTTGCCTCTTCTGCAAGAGCCCTCCGCTTCCTATTTTGCAATGAGCAAGCTCTTTTATCTCCTCTGGTTCCTAATAGGTCATGAGCGGGCTTCCCTCTCTCCTTCTCTTTTAGGGGATAGAGGAGGTTTTTTCATGTTGCGTTAACAGCTAGAGGACATCATTTATATCCATTCTGTCATTTCGTATGAGAAGATACAGGAGCTCATTCATCTCCTAGTCAGAGATTGAAGAACTCGCTCACAAGAGATATAGATATAATAAATCTCTCATACAATGTATAAGAGCTCTCTCATGTCCTACCTAGTTCATTTGCCGTCACCAGCGCTCAGCTCTACCATTTCGTATCTTTTATATGACATAGCTTCTCTATCTCGCAATAGGTCATGAGAGACCTCCTCTTTCTTTTGCAGGAAATGAGAGAGGTCTCTATCTACCTTTTGTGAAAGAGCTCCCTTTGTTCAATCACAAGAACTCATTCATAGAAGCTGTAAGAGCTCTCGAATGTACTTTCTTGTTAATTTCCCGTCGATAGGTAGAGGAGCTCACAGCTCTACCACATCCTACCCTTTACATGGAAGAGGCTCCTCTATCTCGTAGCGGGTCAAGAAAGATTGTCTCTATCTCTTTGCAGAACATTAGAGAGTCCTCTACCTACCTCTTGTGAAAGAGCTCCTTCACCTCAAAATCAAATGCCACAACTCGTCTATCTTTCACTGGGACATGAGACAGCTCCATTGTGAATTTCTATTCAGAAATAGCTGCTTCTCTATCGATGAAGAAATCATGCGAGTAGCCGTTTATCGATGCATAAGAAATGACATAGCTCTTCTACCTTTTTGCGACAGATCTCTTCTTTACCCGAAATGAAAGTTTGGAAGGCCATTCTCTATCCCTTGAATGGGGACACAACTCATCAGTCTCTATCGTTTACGTGAGAGAGTTTCGCTATCTCTGAACAGGTCATCTGAAAGCTCCTTTGTGTCTGCGCAGCAAGTGAAGGAGCTGCTTGCCTCTTCTGCAATAGCTCCTCCGCTTCCTATTTTGCAATGAGCAACCTCTTCTATCTCCTTTGGTTCCTATTTCTCGTTTGCCATCACTAGGCAGAGGAGCTCTCAGCTCTACCATGACCTATCTTTTACATGAAAGAGGCTTCTCTATCTCGTAACGGTTCATGGAGTCATGACAGATCTTCTCTATCTCTTTGCAAGAAAAGAGAGCGTGCTCTACCTACCTCGTGTGAAAGAGCTCCTCCACCTTGTGATCGAGAGTGACAGAACTCGTCTATCTTTCAATGGTGCATGAGCCAGGTTTTTTGTTTGTATTTGAGAAAAAGCTTGTCTACCCGTGATATAATAAGAAATGAATAGCTCTTCTACCTTTCTGTGACAGATCTCTCCTTTATTCGAAATGAAAGTCTGGAAGGCCATTCTCTATCCCTGAAATGGGGCATGACATAACTTTTCAATCTCTATCGTTTACGTGATCGAGTTTCGCTATCTCTGAATAGGTCATCTGAAAGCTCCTCTGTATCTTTGCAGCAAGTGAAGGAGCTCCTTGCCTCTTCTGCAAGAGCCCTCCGCTTCCTCTTTTGCAATGAGCAAGCTCTTTATCTCCTCTGTTTCCTAACAGGTCATGAGACAGCTCATTTCCACACTGTCATTTCGTATGCGAAGACACAGGAGCTCATTCATTTTCTATTCAGAGATTGAAGAACTCATTCATAAGAAATGTATGAGAGTTGTCTCATGTCCTATCTAACTGATTTCCCGTCACTAGGCAGAGGAGTCCTCAGCTCTACCATTTCTTATCTTTATATGACATAGCTTCTCTATCTCGCAAAAATCAGGTCGTGAGAGACCTCCTCTTTCTTTTACAGGAAATGAGAGAGGTCTCTATCTACCCTTTGTGAAAGAGCTCCCTTTGTTCACTGGCAAGAACTCATTCATGAAAGCTATAAGAGTTCCCGTCGATAGGTAAAGGAGCTCACAGCTCTTCTATATCTTACCCTTTACATGAAAGAGGCTCTCTATCTCGTAGCGGGTCATGAAAGATCGTCTCTATCTCTTTGCCGGACATGAGAGAGTCCTCTACCTACCTCTTGTGAAAGAGCTCCCCCACCTCGTAACGTACAAAGACAGAACTCGTCTATCTTTCAATGGGACATGATCCGTCTCTTTGGTTTTGGTTGAGAAAAGCTTCTCTATCCATGAAGCAAACATGAGAGAAGCCGATTGTCTCTAGGCTGCTTATCGCTTCGTAGGAAATGACATAGCTCTTTTACCTTTTTGCGAGAGATCAACCCTAATTGAAGGTTTCGAAGGCCTATCCCTGAAATGGAGCGTCGCATAACTCATCAGTCTCTCTCGCTTACGTGAGACAGCATTTATTCTATTTCGTAACAGGTCATCTAAACGCTCTTCTATGCGTTTGTAGAAGTAGAAGAGCTCCTTGCCTCTTGTGCAAAAGCTCCTCCGCATCCTAAAGAGCAATGAGCAAGCTCTTCTATCTCCTCTCTCTTGAATAGGTCATGAGAGGGCTCCCCTCCCTCTGGTTGAGGGAATGACAGAGCTCCTCCGCCCCTTACGAAAGAGCCTTTCTCCTGCTTGAAAAGCTGCGGGCGGGTGCTCTGGCGCCTCGTAGGTTTGGGAGGGCTCCTTTTCACATCTTTATCTTTCCGACTCCGAGATATAGGAGCTCATTTTTTCGAAAGTGGTAGCAGAGATCTCTCATTTCCAAGAGATCTTTGTCACTCAGGGAGAAAGCAAGGTTTTGATTTCAAAGAAATGGAGGAGCTCTTTCATGTCCCATTAAGAGTGTGGAGCGCTCTCATTACGCATGAAAAGATTGATGACATGGATTCGTTACCATTCTTTAACTTTTCTCGAAGGGTCTTTTCTTTTCATATGCAGGATCTCTTTCATTTCCTATGAGAAGATAGAGGAGCTCTTTCATCTCAAAGATAGAAGAATGCATTCATAAACGGTATAAGAGCTCTCCCATGAACTATATCTCATCGTAGGGGGCATAGGAGTCTTAGGGGGCTCAGGATTCGCGTGCAGGGTGTAGGGTTTATAGGGCTACGGGAATTTAATGGAGGGTGTATTTGTGTAGTCTGCCTATTACCGTAACAAACCCGTGACATAACCCAGAGCCATTACTTGCAAGACTGCTTCTTGAAAGCAAGAGCGCTAGTGTCTAACCATTGTACATTCCTACATGAGATACCCCACCACATCTTGAAAACACCTCTTTCTCCAAGGGTTTACTGGGGCATTAAGGAACAAGAACGTGATGGTTTCAGCACCAAAGTAAGGGAATAGCAAAGGGTTTCCAGGGAAAACTTCCCTGATGCAACCGGTCTCTATCTCACAAGAGGTCATGAGAGACCTCCTGTATCACATTGCAGGAATGAGAGAGTTCTCCACCATGTTTGTTTTCCGAAATAGCTTCTCTATCAATGAAGAGTTTTGAAGGTCGCCCTGGGCCATTCTCTGTCCGATAAATGAGACATGACATAACTCATTAGTCTCTATTAAAAGAGTCTCTATCTCTACGTGATCGAGTTTCGCTATCTCTGAATATACGTCGTCTGAAAGCTCCTCTGTGTCTTTGTAGCAAGTGAAGGAGCTCCTTGCCTCTTCTGCAAGAGCTCCTCCGCTTCCCCTTTTGCAATGAGCAAGCTCTTCTATCTCCTCTGGTTCCTAACAGGTCATGACTTCTGCAAGAGCTCCTCCTCTTGATATTTTGCAATGAGCAAGCTCTTCTATCTCCTAATAGGTCAGAGAGGGCTTCCCTCTCTCCCACTCTTGTAGAGGGCATCGTTCATTTCCTGTCTGTCATTACGTATGAGAAGAGACAGGAGCTCATTCATCTCCTAATCAGAGATTGAAGAACTCCTTCAGGAGAGCTCTCTCATATCCTATCCTTTTGGTTCCCCGTCACTAGGTCCCTAGGTAAAGGAGCTCTCAGCGTCTCAGCTCTACCGTTTGCTACCTTCTACGTGGCAGAGCTTCTTTATCTCGCAATAGGTCATGAAAGACTTTCCAGCAAATGAGAGAGTTCTCTACTTTACCGCTTGCGAAAGAGCTCCCCTTTTTCAATGACAAGAATTCACTCATACAAGCTACAAGAGCACTCTAATGTCCTGTCTTGCTCATTTCCCGTCAATGGGTAGACGAGCTCGCAGCTCTACCGTTTCCTACCCTTTACATGAAAGAGGCTCCTCTATCTCGTAGCGGGTCATGAAAGATCGTCTCTATCTCTTTGCCGGACATGAGAGAGTCCTCTACCTACCTCTTGTGAAAGAGCTCCCCCACCTCGCAACGTACAAAGACACAACTCGTCTATCTTTCAATGGGACGTGATTCTCCTTTGCTTTTGGTAAGCCCGAACGACTACCGGAATTAACTTCTTGCATTTCTTGTTTTTCTCACAGACAGGAAGAAGTTACGGAAATTAATGAATTGTGAATTTCTTTAATTTGTTTTCATTAATCTCGCAAGCCCGAACAGCTGCCGGAATTAGTTTCATGAATTTCATTAATTTCTTTAATTTCTTTGATTTCTTTATTGTTTGAATTTCTGAAAACCTTTAATTTCTTTAACTCCCTCAATTTCTTGAATTTCTTTACTTTCTGTAATTTCGTTTAATTAGTCTCGCAAGCCCGAACGGCTGCCTGAATTAATTTCTTTAATTTCTTTTTTATTTCTTTAATTTCTTTAATTTCTCACAGAGAGACCCAGAAATTAAAGAAATTAAAGAAATTAATTAATTTCATTAATTTCATTAATTTCTTTAATTTCTTTAATTTCTTTTAATTAGTCTCGCAAGCCCGAAGGGCTACCGGAATTAATTTCGTTAATTTCATTAATTTCTCACAGAGAGGCACAGAAATTAAAGAAATCAAAGAAACTAATTGGGGTAGCCCCCCCGGCTCACGGGACTAATTAAAATAAATTAAAGAAATTAATGAAACTAATGAAATTAAAGAAATTAATTAATTTCTTTAATTTCTTTAATTTCGCACAGAGAGGCCCAGAAATTAAAGAAATTAATGAAATTATGTAATTTCTTTAATTTCTCACGGAGAGGGCCAGAAATTAAAGAAATTAATGAAATTAATTAATTTCTTTAATTTCTTTAATTTCTCACAGAGAGGCCCAGAAATTAAAGAAATTAAAGAAATTAATTGGGGGGCCCCCCCCGGCTCACGGGACTAATTAAAATAAATTAAAGAAATTAATGAAATTAATGAAATTAATGAAATTAAAGAAATTAATTGATTTCTTTAATTTCTTTAATTTCGCACAGAGAGGCCCAGAAATTACAGAAATTAATGAAATTAATTAATTTCTTTTAATTTCTTTAATTTCTCACAGAGAGGCCCCGAAATTAAAGAAATTAATGAAATTAATTAATTTCTTTAATTTCTTTAATTTTTCACAGAGAGGCCCAGAAATTAAAGAAATTAAAGAAATTAATTGGGGGGGCCCCCCCGGCTCACGGGACTAATTAAAATAAATTACAGAAATTAATGAAATTAATGAAATTAAAGAAAGTAATTAATTTCTTTAATTTCTTTAATTTCGCACAGAGAGGCCCAGAAATTAAAGAAATTAATGAAATTAATTAATTTCTTTAATTTCTTTAATTTCTCACAGAGAGGCCCAGAAATTAAAGAAACTAATGAAATTAATTAATTTCTTTAATTTCTTTAATTTCTCACAGAGAGGCCCAGAAATTAAAGAAATTAAAGAAATTAATTAATTTCATTAATTTCTTTAATTTCTTTAATTTCATTAATTTCTTTTAATTAGTCTCGCAAGCCCGAAGGGCTACCGGAATTAATTTCTTTAATTTCTTTAATTTCTCACAGAGAGGCCCAGAAATTAAAGAAATTAAAGAAATTAATTGGGGGGGGCCCCCCGGCTCACGGACTAATTAAAATAAATTAAAGAAATTAATGAAATTAATGAAATTAAAGAAATTAATTAATTTCTTTAATTTCTTTAATTTCGCACAGAGAGGCCCAGAAATTAAAGAAATTAATGAAATTATTTAGTTTCTTTAATTTCTTTAATTTCTCACAGAGAGGCCCGGAAATTAAAGAAATTAATGAAATTAATTAATTTCTTTAATTTCTTTAATTTCTCACAGAGAGGCCCAGAAATTAAAGAAATTAAAGCAATTAATTAATTTCATTAATTTCTTTAATTTCTTTAATTTCTTTAATTTCTTTTAATTAGTCTCGCAAGCCCGAAGGGCTACCTGAATTAATTTCTTTAATTTCTTTAATTTCTCACAGAGAGGCCCAGAAATTAAAGAAATTAAAGAAATTAATTGGGGTAGCCCCCCCCGGCTCACGGGACTAATTAAAATAAATTAAAGAAATTAATGAAATTAAAGAAATTAATTAATTTCTTTAATTTCTTTAATTTCTTTAATTTCGCACAGAGAGGCCCAGAAATTAAAGAAATTAAAGAAATTAATTAATTTCATTAATTTCTTTCATTTCTTTAATTTCATTAATTTCTTTTAATTAGTCTCGCAAGCCCGAAGGGCTACCGGAATTAATTTCTTTAATTTCTTTAATTTCTCACAGAGAGGCCCAGAAATTAAAGAAATTAAAGAAATTAATTGGGGGAGCCCCCCCGGCTCACGGGACTAATTAAAATAAATTAAAGAAATTAATGAAATTAAAGAAATAATTAATTTCATTAATTTCTTTAATTTCGCACAGAGAGGCCCAGAAATTAAAGAAATTAATGAAATTAATTAATTTCTTTAATTTCATTTATTTCCCTAAGAGAGCCCCAGAAATTAAAGAAATTAAAGAAATTAATAGGTAAATAAATTAAATTCCTCATACAAGTGATATACGTGAAATGGACCCAAAAGGTCCCTCTCACATATATATATATATATGTATACATATACATGATTTATGTATTTATGTGTTTATGTATTTATGTATTTTGTTATGTATCTACATATATAGATGCTCATATGTATACACATATAGAAAATGTAATGTGTGTGTGTATATAGACCAAATGAAGCTGGATCTGCCCCATATCTGCCAAGCTGAACTGCAGGCATCCCTGGGCCCCGGCCAATCTCATCCGACATACCCACGACTCTCGGATTCGAGGTTCCGGGAATCACGCTGTCCTGCACAGACGCAGGGTTTAGGGTTAGAGAGGGGACCCTTTTTGTTTAGCGAGAAGAAAGATTGCTTGCAAGACCTGTGTCGAAGACTGCCATTCCCTTAAACAAGCCCAACTCGGACTTGATTTGGCTAAAAAAAATATTAGGAAATGTGAAGAGACGGGAGAACACATCTGGCTCCTGGTGGGCGCAGCTGCTACAGCACCACATCCCCGATGAGCGCAGGCTTGCGAGGCCTTCACGACCTGCCGCAATGCGCAGGCGGAATTAAGGCTAGATACGCTAGAGATTATGTAAAACTCGACAGCAGCCTGACTCCAAACCCCTGATTAGGAGCGTTTGCAAGGGGAGAGGCCAACATAGGCGCCAACAAAAGCGGCTGAACTGCCCCGGCCTTTTTGTGGGGATGTGGCGCACTGCTGTTCGCATCGACGCCATCAGAGATGCAACTTAGGCATTAAAGGCTCGACACGCGTGTAGTCAGGTGGTTTGACGTACCTTGCTTTGGCCACCTCTACTCTGGCGGAGTCGTGGCCGAATGCCGGCTTGCTGGTCACTTCAGCAGGTCCCTTGCATGTCAGCGTGTTGTTACATAATGTTAGGCTGCCGAACTGATTCTGGGTGCTCTTCTTTTGTGGGTCTGCAGGATATATGGACGGCTGGGAGTTCGTAGGGGTGGGTGCCGTGCGGGACCCTTTGGGGCAGCCTGGGTTGACCACAGCCGCAATGAGGGCCTTCGGCCTGGAGCCAAAGTGGGCGAGCGCGGGGCCTGGCTTAACAGGGCTCGGGCTGGCCTGAGACAGGGGCAAGTTGACATCCAAGCATCCACACATACGCCTCACAAACAGCATGCAGCCACATGCTTCAACTTGTGAATGGCACGATATCTTTTCCGCAGTGGCTTGGCTCAATGGTTCATGGCTCATGTTGGCGAACTTAGCGATTTGCCTTAGCAACGCGCTCGATCTCGTCCTTCTTCCTTAGAACAAAAAAAGGGATGGCAACACGACAAAAAAAGGCCTCTCCAGCATGGATGTTTGCAGGAACTGCAATGCTGGAAGCTCCAACTGGTCACAACTGGATGTGTCTATGAATACACCAGCCAGGCAAGACTCTTGATGGCGTAGCTGTTGGAAGACTCCTTGGCGCAGTTCATGATCTCGTCGGCCAGGCACTCCGAGATGGACTTGATGTTGCGGAAGGCGCTGTTGCGGGCGCCGGTGCAGATGAGGTAGATCGCCTGGTTCACGCGGCGGAGCGGGGACACGTCCACGGCCTGGCGTCTCACCACACCCGCGGAGCCCACTCGCGTGGAGTCCTCACGGGGGCCGCCATTCTTGACCGCATCGACGAAGACCTGGATGGGGTTCTTGTCTGTGAGGAGGTGGATGATCTCAAAGGCATGCTTCACGATTCGCACGGCCATGAGCTTCTTGCCGTTGTTGCGGCCGTGCATCATGATCGAACAGCACAGGCGCTCGACGATCGGGCACAGGGCCTTCCGGAAGCGCCGCATCTGATACCGACCCTGGGTGTGCGGCAGGAAGCTCTGCGCCGCTTTGTTCACGGCGATGTAGTCCACCAAGCTCAGGTCCGACAGCATCACATCCTCGTAGGTCCTTGGTAAGATGCCCTGTTGTCCATCCGACAAAAACAGGTTCCAACACCAACTGTTACTCTGGCACCCCAATCTCAAGACAGCCGAGCAGCCACTTCCCAAACAGCTTCACTTCGGTAGCCGACATGCTTGATACCCGTTTTTCTCTACCTGGGCCCGTCGGGGCGCCTTCTCCTGAGCCAACCTCTGGTGGGCAAGGAACCAACTGACCAATACTTTGGCAACCACACGTGCAGTCACATGCACGAATGTTTGCACACTGCACCAACCACAACATCACGTATGAACGGGTATCAAAGCTCCCCATCCTCCCCCGCCCCCCCCCCACGCGCAGGAAAAACATCTGCAGCCCTTCAAGCGTGCCACACATTCAGGCACCGTGAAGTCGTCCAGATTTCACAAGGCCAAGTCAGGAGCATAGTCTTTTGTGGCACCTCTGCAGTGCAGGGCCTTCATCATGCCCTCGGTGCCAAGGCACATGCCACAGGCAGGCGGGCTGTCTCAAAACGCAAGGTCCCGAGATCTTTGTCGAAAGTGCGCCACTCGACAGGCCCAAGCAAATTGTACAACGAATGAGCATCTTGCAATGGTTTCCACACCCAAATAAAGTTTCCACTTTGCTAGTGCGATATTTCGTGAACAGCCATGTTTGGCACGGGGATAACGGCTCGTCCACCTGACGGTGATGGGCGTGTTCAGCATCCTCTCCAGTCCCTGCTTGTTACCCCTAAAGCTGTCCTAATTACTCACTTCAACTTTCCTCAATTTCTATCGAATCTCCGCACATGCTTCTAAGTCACTCGCAAAACCTGTCTTGAGAAAATTATGAAATCGTTCGAATCCATTCGCAACTCTTCATACCCCCTCGAGTCAGACTGGTCCCCTCTGTATTGTTTCCGATGATGCTCCCTCGATCTCCTTCCACACTTGACCCGCGACAGGCTAGCGGCACGAGAGACGAGAGAGGGAGGGGGAGAGGGAGAGAGCGCCAGAGACAGAGAGCGAGAGAGCGAGAGAGAGAGAGAGAGAGAGAGAGAGACAGATAGAAACACGTTCGACCGAGAGGGAGAGGGTGAGGGAGCAGGAGCCAGTGGGAGCTTTGCTTCCGGAGTGAGGGCCCACCGCCCTGACCCACAAACAAGACGGAGACAAAGACACGCACTCCCGCCTAACAAACAGCTCCGACGTTACCCCAAGGACGTTTTGGTCAGATTCTCCGCAGACTCGGCTCTACTCGTGAGAGGTTCGACTTCGCAGCTGCCTCAGCGGTTGGCCTTCGCCACGCGCTCGATCTCATCCTGCCAGGAGTGAACAGGGCCAGAACAATACGCAACCAAGTCAAGAACAAGCGTCAACTTCGCATTGTGCTCACCGTCTTCTGTGTCCAATGTGAGCGTAAGACCGTAATTAAGACCACTGTCACACAGCATGTCCTTCTTCTTGATGGCGTAGCTGTTGGAAGACTCCTTGGCGCAGTTCATGATCTCGTCGGCCAGGCACTCCGAGATGGACTTGATGTTGCGGAAGGCGCTGTTGCGGGCGCCGGTGCAGATGAGGTAGATCGCCTGGTTCACGCGGCGGAGCGGGGACACGTCCACGGCCTGGCGTCTCACCACACCCGCGGAGCCCACTCGCGTGGAGTCCTCACGGGGGCCGCCATTCTTGACCGCATCGACGAAGACCTGGATGGGGTTCTTGTCTGTGAGGAGGTGGATGATCTCAAAGGCATGCTTCACGATTCGCACGGCCATGAGCTTCTTGCCGTTGTTGCGGCCGTGCATCATGATCGAACAGCAGAGGCGCTCGACGATCGGGCACAGGGCCTTCCGGAAGCGCCGCATCTGATACCGACCCTGGGTGTGCGGCAGGAAGCTCTGCGCCGCTTTGTTCACGGCGATGTAGTCCACCAAGCTCAGATCCGAAAGCATCACATCCTCGTAGGTCCTTGGATGCGTAGAGTCACTACGCGGTGCCACATTAAGAATTTGAGTGGAGGCTCTGTAGCTGCTCTGCCGAGGTTCCACTTTCCAAACAGCTTTACCTCTGTGGCCGACATCTTTCGCTTGTGTTGGAAGCTGCAATACCTTCCCTCGAGCCCCTCGCTGCACGATTGGACCTAGGTCCTAGGGCTGCAAGCCAAGCCTCTTAGACGGAGATTCCGAGTAGGTAACAAGAGTAAGGCAGGGCATCAGGGCGCTGTTTCTCACCCACATCTCACAGCGATCAGAGTCTATAAGGCCCTCAGGAAGGCTGTCAATTCCGTACTGAAGCTCTCTGCATCTCATCATCAAGCTACCCTTTAGAGAACGAACCAGCTCCTTAGCTCCTTCAACGCGCATGCTCTCTGCTGTGTCATACACACCACAGCGTAGCAGCTACTGGTGCTCCAGCCAGGAATGGTCACCCTTCGGCCGATTGCCAGACGTCTGCTGGATCGTTATCTAAGTCTCTCTGACATCTGCACATGCCCATTGCAGCGTCATGCACGCGAGTCCATTTGCCGATGCTTTCAAGGCCTACAGTGCAGAGCACATGCACAGATCGAAGCTTCCTACCTCGACTTGTCATAAGCTGCGCATGCCCCGAAACACTTCTTAAAGTAGCCTGCAACCGAACCGTGAGTTAGTCCACTTGCCATGGCGGCTTCGACTGAAAGCTGGGTGCTGTCTGCTTCGTTGCCCGTCTTGAGACTTCTGCATGATTCTGCATCCGGGGGCTAAGACGGCTAGGATGAAGAGCTCGAGTCACTGGAGTCAGAATCGGAGTCCGAGCTCTCCTGAGCGGCTTGCTACAGAAGTCACAAAAAAGGTCGGCACCTGCTCTTCCGCAACTGGCCGAGGCTCTGAAGATGACGAAGATGATGACTTCTTACGCTTCTTGCTCCTGGGCTTCGTGGCTTGACATCCAGGAAGAGCTGGTGAGTGATACAGAGTTGCGCATCTACTCATCTCTGCATTCTTGGGGACACCCCAATTGTTTTTCGGAGTGGGACCTGAACCGTTCTACTGGCCCGCTGGAGAGGTCCTGGCTACTCAAACGCCCCATATGGCTATGGCCTGTATGAGCCATTTTGAGGAGCTGGGAGGAAAAAACTTCGATTTCGACCCTTGAGGGTATTGAGACTCTGAGTGCCTACTTCACCGTCTGCTCCGCTGAGCCAAGCCCGATGGCCACCACCCGACTCTCCGTACATTGCTTCTGAGGTGCTTCTTCTTTTTCTCTTTCTTCTTTTTATCTTTTTTGTCCTTCTTCTTCTTGTCTTTCTTGCCTGCTCTGGCAGGGAGCTGATAGACGAGCAGCGAAAGCCACGGGCTGCCACGCCATGCCACCCCATGATGTGCCTTTCTTCTTCTTTGTTTTCTTTTCTTTCTTTTCTTTCTTGGGCTTCTCACCTCGGTAAGCCCACAAAGAGTCGGAGATGTGCCATGAACACTGTTGCGACATGTCGCGGCATACTACGTTCTGCTGAGGAAGTGGACTTTTTTAACCTTGAAGCTCTCTGAACAATCCGAATGCGCATCACCAGAGGGTCCGGCCCTTCTCTGCAATTTTCTTCTGTTTTTTCTCGAGTCTCTTCTGCTCTTTCAGCTCCTTACAGGGGGGCCACAGAGGAACGTGAACGGACTGGTGGTTGGAGTTGAGGTTCGTTGTGCTTGATTCGAACGAGTACCTGCGCAAGTCCTGCGCTAGAGTACAGATTCTAGCCACCCAGCCGCGTCAGCACAGCACATCTTAAGTCTGAGCAGCCGACAGCCATCCTCAGGAGCGCCTCTTCTTGCTGCTTTCGGAAGGCCTTTGATGACGACGTGCTCCGAAGTCGCAATAATCCCCGAAGTCAGACAGTCTAGTCAGGCCGGCGCGGCAAGCTGCAACGCACCCAAGGACGCTGATACAATGGCTATGCGGCTATGCATTTACTCGGCCATGTGGCAAAAAAAGAAGCATCTCTGTGAGCCACAACAGGCCTGTTCCAGCGTCTCCTTATCATCTGTCGAAGCTAAGCAACTGACATCGACATCGCCTCTCTTCTGGACCTTTCAAGGGCGTGCTTCCCAGCACTGCACTGCAAAATACAGAGATGCCACAGAGATCATACTGGTCTGACATACGAACCCCAAAAGCTAGAAGCCAGAGAGCTGCACACATCACCACAGGGGCCCGGCCGCCATGGGGTCGAAGGAGCTCTTGCGCTGGCGCCGCTCCTCCAGGATCTTGTCTGCATCCCGGTCCTTGGGCCCATGCCATCTTCTAGCACCTATACCCATGTGTGAGACATGCAATAGTTACAATTTCCAGTGTAGGATACATATGGAAAAAAAATATTGCAATACAAGGGGTAGGGCAGAGCAACGGGCAAAAAGGGGGAGCTTCGACATAATCAGTTTTCACTTGCATGTCCTCCACAACCCCAGACCCAGCCACCCACGAAACAGGTCAAGTGTTGCTGTCACTCTGGTTGTACGAGTGGCTATCCGATAGCGGCTATCCACCCTGATCGTTGCGCTGGGAGATCAGTCTTGCAGGACTCTGAAAGCTTTGCAATATTTTTCAATCAAAGCCGGAAGCCGGACTTAACATACCTTTCAGGCTTCGCCCGAGCCTGACGGACAAAGCGCTGAGCACCCGCACCATGACTTTCAGCCTCTGGAGTCGCTCCTCTTCCCGGGAGTTGAAGGAACCCTGCATCAAACAGCGGCCGAGAGCATCACACACCCAGGTGCTCACGTGCTCTCCGAAACCCGAGCACAGGCTCAGATCTCTGTAGCTCTGAGCCGCGGTCACCTGTTCCCTCTCCCAAGTGCTGCTCTGCGCTCTCTAGGCTAGTCACTACTCTCGCCCAGAAATTGTTTGCAGTGTGTTCTTGGCTTCAGATTTGGCGCGTGCCGCGGACCACTTGCAAGCATGCTATATGCCTACAAGGACTACAACTTCTGGCAGGCATTGCGCTAGTTCTGCAATATTTCCGGGTCCAAGGCTGTTTCGTGTGTCTAGTTACATTTGACTCCAAGCTGAACAGTCAAATCCCATCAGATTACGCTGTGTTGCGCACGACTCGGCACGCCTGAGCCTCACGAAGCTTTCGAAGCTCCTGGCCAAAAAAAACCCAAAAAAAAAGTCATTGAGCGGCCAAGTTACTCACGGGTAGCCGCCAAAGCTCTGTGGATGAACGCTTGGCTATTACGGAAGGCGAATTCAGGACAGGCAAGCGTCATCAAGCGTCGGAATGCGCGGTCACACAAACAACTCTTCTGCTCCCGACTCAGAGCCCCAGCAACACCCTGGAACCCACCCTTACTCGGAGCACTCCTCCGGGTCATCTGTGCCATGGTGGACAGTCTCTCTTGAGACCTGCATCTACAAGTACGTGGTCTTGCGATTGCTTCGGCACATGATTGGTTCCGATCAACACACTCTCATGAGCAGGGCAGCCGTGGAACTTGCTTTTGGGGGCTCAGCAGGCTCAACAGCTTAACGTCACCTCGCCGGTCACCGGCACGACATGTTTGTCGCATTGCGTCAGAGGCTAAGCTTCCGGGGATTCCTCCACTGTCTCGGAGTCGCTCATGCTTCAATTGGTGGCCTCTCATTGTGCTACCAACGAAGCTTGGAGCTTCGCGTTTCCCAACAGGTCGGATTGACCCAACGTCTGTATGCTTGTGGAGCTGGGCAGACAAGTGCTCATGGTGCCCAATAAACTATGTCTTCCCATATCCCTCCGCAAATGGCACGGGCGCCCCAGTTTCCACGTTCGCCTTGCCTTCTTGAGACGTTTTGGAGGTTGTCGACTCGGCAGGAGCAAAAGCACGCGTGGGTCGGCAGGTCTTGTTTGCGCGCGGCGCGCTATCCGCCGATGGCCCGTAGCACATTTGAGCTCATGCGCAAAAGCACCTTCGGCTCTCTAAACTGCTGACATTGTCTAGCGGCTGGGCCTGACACAACTAGCCTCCTGCACTATCAGCTTCAGCCAATCCGAGGTGCGGTGGTCGTAAGCCAAGCCCCTGACGCCCCAGGCAGTCTTGCCTCACAAGATGACAAACGAGCTCAACGCCCACTACTAAGGATATGTCACTATGTGCTCATCCACCAGGCATCTGTCGGGAACGCGGACAGAAAGGGCCGGGCCGCCCATCGCCGGAGGATGGATCATTGCCTCTAACCTGAGCTTTTGGGCGGAGGAATCGTGCAAGAGAAGTTGAACAAAAGTGTCGCCCATGTGACAAAGCCCGGGATCCATGTGAACCTGTGAATCTGGGGACAGGAGGGGACCGACTTTGGGGGAGCATTGGCAGCATTGGGGAATACTTCATGGCCGTTTCCTGGCCACATCAGCCCACCCCCACTTCCGGCCCCTCCCCACAGCACGTGTCTCCCGGATCCAGGCCGGGGGTCTCCAGTCTGGTTTGTAGTTAGCTGCAAATAATTTTGAAGCGTTTCACACTTCCTCAGTGCTAGACGCGCATACGCATGCAGGTCGCCGGCCATGGGCAACAGCTCCCTTCAACAACGTTGTGGTCCGCAGAATGGAGGACCGGTACTGGAGACGCCATGATTCTTCAGCAGCTCTCAAGCCCTGGCATCTGAAAGGCAGCCATGGATGGGAAAATGAGCCGCCAACCCCCCAAGACGTCACGGCACAGCGGGGGCACTTTCAGCCTGAGCGTCCGAACAGGTGGGAATCCTACAGCTTCTGTGCTCTGCCCCGCTTCTCGTTACAAGAACACTGTCCAAAGCAGGCCTGGACCCATTAAGCTCATGGGCTCTTCAAACGGCCCAGGCAGGGCGGGTCCACTCCACTACAACTGGTGGATCGTGGTGGCAGGACTGTGGGCAATTCGGAGTGCCTTGCTTTAACCAACAAATAACACGTACAGTCATGCTTCATCTGACTAGTACCTCACTCACTTGATACTGCACGAAGCGGAAACGGTCAAGGCAGATCCACAATAGGTTTCCGAGATCAGTTTAGGGAGAGCTTCTGGGAATGGGTACCCTTGCCAATTTGGGGTATCCCTCCCCACAGCAGGCAGAGTCTGGTTGGCCAAAGATGGCTCTCCA